CGCCACGACGATCCTTCGTCTCGCATTGGGTTTGCCAGCGTATGATTTTCCAACAGGGCCGCGACGTCGACGGCGTGACGTTGCATTGTACCAAAACAGCAACATCAAATATGACAATATTCTCGCGAGCCCTTCTCGTCAGCAAGCAGAATCGTCTTCCGCAGCAGCTAGTGACACAGATTGAAAACCCAATGCTACTATCAACTCGGGTATTGATCGAACCAGGTTGAAACACTGCTTCCGGCAACCTGTCATACCAAGATGTAGTCAACTGCGCGTGGTCGTTGTTGTTGAAGTGGGTCGTAACTGCGCGTGGTCGTGGTGGATGGGGCAAGCGACCTGGACTCACGGCGACAGTGAGCCGATCTTTCTGCTCGTATGCGTTGCGCCTCAAACCACCGGGCGCAGCGTTCGATGTCTGGCTCGATACCCTCAATGCCACTCCTCCAAGCGATGCTTCGCAGCGCGCTTCGAGACAAGTCGACACGGCATGGGTGGTGTCTGTACACGGTTGTTTTACTGCAGAACGCTTATCTCGTCCAACCTTTCTAGTCAATCTTGATGGACGAGTAGATCTTGCGGATAAACCAAAAGCAGGCAAAGTACCCGATGGTGCCCGTGAGGAAGAAGAACGTGAGCGAGATCATGCCCATGTAGCCAAAGTAGAGCAGGCCCGAGACGAACGCGGTGATGTTGAGCTTCGAGAAGAAGTACAGGAACGAGTACAAGAAGAGGTACAAGGCCGCGCTGCCCGACGTGAGGAACGAGCGCCACCACCAGTGGTAGTCCTCGGCGCAGAGCTGGAAGTAGCACATGACGATCGTCACTTCGGCGCACGTCGCGACGAGGATGAGCAGCACGAGGAAGAGGAAGCCAAAGACGTAGTAGATCTGGTGGAGCCAGAGCGCCGACATGATGAAGAAGAGCTCGATAAAGACCGCGCCAAACGGGAGGATGCCGCCGACGATGATCGCAAACGGCGTCGAGAGGTACCAGACTTGTTCCGGGATCTGGCGCGCAATCTGGTTGGTCTTGACCGGGTGCTCGATCGCCGGGCGCTTAAAGCCAAAGTACGATCCGAGGCAGACAAGTGGCACGGAAATGCCAAACCAGAGCACGAGGAGCGCGAAGAGCGTGCCAAAGGGCACGGCCTGCGACGACGCCTTGGCCCAGAGCACGAGGTTCAGCAGGAAAAACACCAGAAAGAGGCAGCCCGGGTAAAAGACGGCGGTCGAGACCATCGTGCGCTTCCAGTCCTTGCCGTGAAACATCTTGTACGTGCGCGAGCTATGGTAGCCGGCAAACGAGCCCATAAACACAAACAGCAGCAGGAGCGTCGTGAGGAGCGACCCGCGGTTGGCGGGCGAGAGGAGGCCGAGGAGCGCAATCACCATCGTGGCCGCCGACATGCAGCAGACCTGGACGCCTGTCCCGACAAACACGGAGAAGAGCATCGGCGAGTACGACGGCGGGCGAAACACATCGGCGTGCACGAGCTTCCAGCCGCTTTCTTCCGCGGCTTCTTCCGACGTCTGGACTTCGTTGTAGCGCGCGATATCGCGGTGGAGCGTCCGGAGCATGATCATGGCGATCATGCCCGTGAGGAAGAGCACAATCATGAGCGAGTTGATGATCGAAAACCAGTGGATCTGGTCGTTCGACGCACGGCTCGAGAGGATGCGGTCCCAGCGCTGCTCCCATGTAATGTCCGACTTGACGTACTGCACGTCGTACGTGTAGAGCACCGTCGACGGCGAGTTGGGCTCGAGGTACGCGTGGTGGCCCTCGCTGACCTCGGCAATGTCGACAAACTTGCCACACGTGTCCTATGGCACGGAAACATGAAACATTGGGTGATGCGACGACGAGAGACGCACCGACGTGAGCTCTTCGCCGCTCGACGGCGAGCCCTTGAAGAGGTGGTTGATGGACGTGGGCACGACCTCGAACCCGACGACGCGCCACTTGGGCGTCGCGGGCTCGGCGTACGGGTCCGGGTGCGTCAAGACGACGATGCGCACGTGGTTGTAAATGAAGTAGCGGCCTTGGGCGTCAATGTCGCCGAGCGGGAAGCCGCGCTTGTAGGCAGCCGAGAGCGGCGCGTTCGGGTCCTTGTTGACCGGTGCGGCCGCCTCGCCGTAGCTCGTGTCTTGGTAGAGCACCGGGAGGTTGTCGAGGATCCACTGCACGTAGTACTCGTCTTCAATCATGTCGATGAAGCGCTGCGTCTCTTCGGCCGTGTAGTGCATCGGCTTGCAAAGGATCTGGCAGCGCACGTCCTTGTGCATGTGCAGGCTGTACATCGAGTTCATAATGGCGTCGCCCGACATGATTTCGCCAAGGTTCTCTTGCTGCTCTTCCGGCGCGCTCGGCGCGCAGAACGGCAGGTAGTAGTACTCGTACGGCACGAGCGTCTTGACCGACGTGATCTTGTTGACGTTCAGTGGCAGGGCCGCGCCCTCCTCCCAGCTCTCGGGGGCCACGCCGGGCACGTAGAAGGCGGCGTCGACGAGGCTGCTCGTCAGCAGAAGCGCGAGGCTCACCAAGGACCGACGCATGACCATGGTCCGACTAGTGACGACGACTCTGGCAGTTTGCAACTAAGCTGTCGCTCTGGCCCTCCATTATCCGGACGCCGGATAAACCTCTCAAAGTGCATACTGGCGCCAATGACGACATCGTTTGAGATCGCTGTGACAGCCACGATGACAACTACTCGTACGCCTTCAGCTAACTACGGTACGACTAGAGCACTCAAGTGCTAGGACCAGACAGGTCGCAGAGGTTGTCGATGGACTTGCTGCGGCACCACTGTCCTATCCGTCAAATTGTAGTAGACGTAGAGATCCAGACAACAGGGCGGCTTGCCAAACTTTTCAACGCACCACGTGGCAGGTGTGGACACGCCGATGTCGCCTACGGTATTAATACTACATGGACTTTCTGCTACCGTAGATTTTCCTGTCCTACGGACTGTGCATAAATGCGTCGTAGCGATGCGTCGGAGATGGAGCGTTGGAGCTACCGACGATTGCTTTCAGAGTTGAGTTGGTCAAGTTCAAATTGGGTGATTTTAGCCCACTCGGTTCGAGCCGTTTCGACCATTGTGCCACGTGTCGGACTGCGCGGTTTTGTTGGCGCAGCGTGCTCTCGTGGATAGACGACATAGGACAATAGGCTCCTGCAAGGCGCGTCGTATGCGCCACGCTTGTAAATGCACATCGTGGTTGGCGATAGCGAATGGGAGGTGTGAATTGTTGTCTGTGGACGCCGATGGTAACTGCCGCATACTGCGATTAAGTTGTTTCGAGTTGAGTGCTTTTAGCTGGTGGACTGCCCATCGGTTTCGTGCAGAAAGATATGACGGGCCATGGCGACGTGAGCAGCAACGTGAGCAGCAGCGTGGCGTGGACCGACGCCGAGTGGGCACTGCGCATCGGCGGCATCGTGCTCCTCGTCGTGCTCGCGGCGACCTTCTCGGGCCTCACGCTCGGCCTCATGTCGCTCGACAAGGTCGGCCTTGACATTGTGATTGCGACTGGCGACGACAAGCTTGCGACACCGGAAGAGAAGAAGAACGCTACGTACGCGCGCCGCATCCAGCCGGTGCGCAACGACGGCCACCTCCTGCTGACGACGCTGCTCTTTGGGAACGTGGCCGTCAACTCGATCATGGCCATCGTCATGGCCGACATGACCTCCGGTATCTTGAGCTCTGATCCTGCCATGCTTAGAATGCGCACTAGGGCTGCTTGGCTTTCTCGTCACGACGGTCGTGCTCGTCATCTTTGGCGAGCTCATTCCACAAGCCTTTTGCTCCAAGCACCCGCTCGGTACGAGCAATCTTCCATCTCGACATTCGTCGACATGACCTCTCGGTAGCCATCGGCGCCAAGACGCTGCCCGTGGTCCGCGTCATCATTGCGCTCTTCTACGTTTTCGCCAAGCCCATTGCGCTCGCCCTCGACTGGCTCGTTGGAAAAGACATGGGCAATTACTTTACGAAATGCGAGGTACACAACGCTTCCGAGTTATGCATATACTGCTGCGTTGCATCCTCACGTCTCCATCTAGCTCACCAAGATGCTCGAGATCCATCTCAAACAAAAGATGCTGGATGTCGACGAGATCAACATCATGAAGGGCGCTCTGCAGTACAAGGCGACGCCGGTCGCACGAGTGATGACGCCGATCGCATCGGTCTACACCCTGTCGTCGTCCACGCTCCTCACGCGCGATGTGCTCGAAGAGATGTACCAGTCGGGCTTTAGCCGCATTCCAGTCTGGACCCGCGACATCAACGACATCATCGGCGTCGTCCTCGTCAAAGATCTGATTTTTGTCGACCCGGTGGTATAGTCTATATCTAGAAATGACTCGCTGTGGACCGAACATTGTAATAGGAGGCGACGCCACTGCTGCATTTCGTGCACATTTTTGGCCGCACCGTACACCGCGTGTGGCCCGAGTCGCCGCTCGCCGACGTCCTCCGCGCCTTCAAGATGGGGCGCACGCACTTGGCCGTTGTCCACGCCGTCAACAACGACGGACCTGTAGGCTCGTGGATGCTGCTACAAGAGAGATATTGTAATAACGCGAATGGCATGCTAGGGCGACCCGTACTACGAGACCAAAGGCGTGGTCACACTGGAAGATATCGTTGAAGAGATTCTGCAAGACGACATTTATGACGAAAACGATGTTGTGGGTACGGCTCCTTAGCCTTTCGAATATGGAGCTGAAGCGACAAATGAAGATGCAGACATTGCGCGCCGCAACCGCATGCTGAACCGGCCGAGCTTCGACACGAGCGTCCGCTACGAGATGCAGGCAGCCTCGACCAAATTCATCAACGCGGCCGAGGTAAACAACGGAATCGAACCCTGTACCAGTAAAATGTGCGAAATTCAGGCCATGGCGCTCGCCCAGCACTTGGCAGCCAAGCACGCCGTGTTTGCCCTGCCCGATGCCACCGGCCAACCCATGACGCCGAGGCGGCTATCCGCGCTCTTGGAGAAGAGCCCCATCGTCGAGTACCACACGCGCGGGGACACGGTGGTCACGCTCGGAAGCAATCTGACGCACTGCCTCGTCGTCTTGGACGGTCGCTTGCAAGCTGCGGGTGCGAGTGCCACAGGTTGGAGCGTCGTCTACATCACCGTGGTGGGGGTTACAACGGTCTCGTGCTCCTAGAGACGCTTGGACTCTGGGGCGTTCTTGGCGCCAACAGCCTCGTGCTCGCCGAAGGTGCGTACGTCAGTGATGTGACGGCCACCGTCGAGACCGAATATGCGCGCTGCCTCAAGCTCGCGCGCGTCGAGTTCCAAGCGCACTTGCACGCGATGGTGCTCAACCGAACACCGGCCACGCTCGAGAAGCGCCGGCGCGAGTCGATCCTCGCTGCCTCCAAGGACGTCAAGGAAGAGGAAGTCCGCATCGCGTTCGCATCCGTGTAGCTCGCAGCTCGGCCACATTTGAGCTCATGAAATGGATCCTCGGATGTCGATATGACTGAGCTGGTCCAAAGCTATCAACCTGTGCTGTCTTAGGGGTCGGGGTCACGGTTAGAAAGGAAGCAAGCGCTAGGAACCATATGTAGAGCATGGACGCAGTAGAGGCGGGTGGCACTCGACACTATGCGCATGGAGACCGCGTCGCCTCGATGGCGAGACAGCCTTTAGCAAGCAGGAGCCCTCTTGTCGTCCGGCTCGCGAGCTCGTGTTGCCGGTTGGTGTGAACCGGATGATAATCCGGATATGTCAAGCGAGTGATGGTCCTGGTCCCAGCGGATCTTTTCCATTTTCCAGCAAGCGGAAGAGCCGAAGGATGGCTCCCGCGGGCAGCGCGGTGCTGGCACTTGTGCCATCGACGCTTCCGTCGGCCAAGCCGGGCGCGCCCTCCATGGACGTCTTCCCGACGACTTGCGCCATCTGCCTCGATGCGATCCAAGGGCCCATGCTGCGCAAGCTGTGTTCCGAGACGTGCCCGGGCATGCTCTGCGCCGCGTGCTTCCAGCGGTACACGGAGGTCCATATCGCGTCGATCCTCCACGGCGTCGTCTCGACGCTCAAATGCCCGATCTGCGTTGTGCCGATGAACCTCTTGCGCGTGCTCGATAGCGTGGGCCCGGACGCCGTCGCGTCGATCCGCGACGCGGTCGAGGCGTCTTGCGAGATTCGGTGCCCGATCTGCGACGATACCTACGTGCTTTTGCCCGACGTCCACGACGAGACGATCGAGCACTTGGCCACAGTCGCGTCCGAGCAGCAGCTCGTGGCGCTCTTCCCGAGCACGTTGCAACCGTTCGTTCTGCCGTTATTGGCCTATTGCAGCTACCGCCTCTCGGCGCCGGCCTTTTTCGCTCTCGTTCAAGCGCAAGATGCATTGTCCCTCGACGTGTTGCTGCCGGCGCTTCTCGCGCGCATCTTTGACCCGCAGCGGCGCGCCTGCCTCTTCCTCGCGTGGCGACAAAAGGACCCGTTCAGCGTCACGTCGTGCTGCCACCACCCCGTGTGCTTTCTCTGCAAGACCGCGGGCCACCACAAGGGCGTCTCGTGTCGTGAGAACGCCGCGACGATCGTCGACATGGCGCAGTGCCCCCACTGCTTTTTGTACCTTGTCAAAGGCGATGGCTGCGACTCGATACTGTGCTTTTGCGGCACCTCGTCCAACTGGCTCGACGAGGTCGACGCACTGCGCCGTCGCATGCTGCTTACGCCGTCCACCATCGCCAGCTTTTCGCGCGTTCTCGCGTTCTTGCGTCGGTGCGTGCACCGTCGGCGCATGGTCGACGTCGTGCTACCGCAGATGACGGCCCGTGTTCTCGCGGCCAAAGTAGCTCGCATTCAGCTCCGTCTCGCGCAGCCAGCGACATGGCCGGCGCGGCAGACACTACTGCAGTACGTCTACCGCCGGCGCTACTCCCGGAGCGTGCTCGGACGCCTTCCCGCACTCGTCCATGGCTGGCGCCAAGAGCACCTTCGCCGCGTCTTCTCGACAACGGTCGTTCCGTCCATCCTCAGTGCCGTCGCGCACGCCCGCCATGCGCGGATCCGCGAAGTCTTGCGCACTTCGCGGCCGCGCCGACGCGCGTTGGAGCAGCTGGTGGTGGCATTTCGCAGAGTGTGCTTTGGCCGGGCGCTGCAGCCCGTGCTGGATCAAGTGCCCGCTGCTGTCGCGGCCAAGCGGCGGGTGCAGCTCAACGCTGCGTTGCCTCGGTGGGGACTCTTCAAGGCGCTCGTGCTACGCTGGGTGTACCGCAGTCGCTACCGGTCCATTGTCGCTGCGATGCCGGTCATGTGCTGCAGTGGCGCGTGACGCATTTCTGTAAAACCAACGGCCTCGTGCACGCACTTGCCTGGGTGGCGGGGCCAAAGCGCAGTCATCGCCGGTCCCGGCGCAAGCAGCACAAGGGCATCCCGTACGTGCTCGAGATGCTCAAAGCCCGCCTCCAACGACAAGGAGGGTTAGGGCACAAGGTGTCGCAGACCAACCCACAGAAGCGCCAGCTTCTCTTTTGACTTTAAAATTTTGTTGTGTCTCCGAAGTGACTTGAATGTCGACGCATGCTGACAAGCCTGCAACTCAGTGTCGTGGACGTGACAAGGGTAGCTCAGCTGATGAACGTGCGTCATGCTGCGTTATATATACACTTCCATTGGTCGAGAATAGTACGTAAGACTCGACTCATGATGCATGATGCATTCAAAATGTCGATCGTTGGCATCCATCGCGAGGGCGGTTAAAAGTCCTTGGTCGTGAGCGTGTACGGAGCAGTCGGCGTCGGGACGTCGGTCGCAAACCCCTCGAACACCGCTGGCAGCGCCATTTCGAGGTCGTCGTTGGCCCGCGATTTCTTGATTTCGACGCGGCGCTGTTGGAGGACGCTGGGATCGCTCGCAATCTGCATCGGGTACAAGGTCGCTTGGAAGTCAAAGTGCGAGATGCGCAGGCAGCGCACGTAGACGTCCGACGGCACCTCGACCGTCACGTCCGACTCGTACGAGCCGTCAGGCACCAAGAGCGCGTTGGCGCCGTGCACCGACCAGAGACCCGCGTGGCTGTGCACGCCGCTGTCTACACAACCACCGACTGAGACAAGGTGGATCATGTCGAGCGTACTGGAGGTGACGCGCACGTGGCCGTGAAGGACAATGAGCGCGTGGTTGGTGACCTTGTGCTCGACAAAGAGGTCAGCATGAGGCGCGTCCGACGTGTGAAACTCGAGGACGGGGCACTTGGTCAGAATGAGCGACGCCAAATGCGACTCGCTCAATGGCGTATCTGCGCCGGCGCGTGAGCGATCCCATGGACGAGCGACGACACGTACTGTTGTTGTCGACGGTCGAGAAGACCGGGTCGTTGGCCACGAGGTGCTTGGCGAGGGCTTCCGCCTACATGTCATCCTGAGACATGTCATTAGCGAAATCATTGACTTACCTCGGGACGCGCGAGGTACTTGACGTCTTGCTTGCCCTCCAAGAGGTGCGACATGCCCGGGTCGTAGCTGCGGTGCGAGAGCCGGTTCTTGCGGTGTGTCTCGGGGTCTATAGACACATTCTCCATCCGTTTTTGTGTTTCTCTAGCGTACCGATCTCGTCGCTCTCGTCGTAAATCTTGTCTTGGAGGATCTCTTCGACAATGTCTTCCAGCGTCACGACACCTTTCGTCTCGTAGAACGGGTCGCCCTACAAGTCGTACGATCAGACGACGCTCTGGCGCAGAAGGTCACATGACGTACCGGCCCGTCGTTGTTGACGTCATGGACGAGCGCGAGGTGCGTCCGGCCGGCCTTGAACGCCTGCATGACTTCGCCGAGCGTCGAGTCGGGCCACACGCGATGCACGCCGCGGCCAAAGACATGGACAAAGTTGAGGAGCGTCGTTTGTTCCTAGTGTGCACAACTTGTCATCTGACGCCACGGGACTAATACGTACGTCCGGGTCGGCGAAAATGAGATCCTTGACAAAGATGAGGCCGACAATGTCGTTGCGGTCCTTCCCGTAGACTGGAATGCGGCTGTAGCCCGTGTGGTAGATCCTCTTGATCGTCTCCAGATCGAGGATCGTGGTCACGGGCAGCATGTAGACGCGGTCGATTGGCGTCATGACGGACGCGACGGCCTTGCGCTTAAAGTACATGGCCCCTGCCGTCATACTTGAGCTACGTACGCATAGCCAAGCTCTTGTACCTTTCATGATGTCGGTCTCGTCCGCATCGAGCATCTTTTGCTTGACGTGGATCTCGAGCATCTTGGACATCTACGCAAATAAGAAAATCAACTCGACACATTGATAGAATGAAGCAAACGAACCTCGGTGCGCGAGTAGACGGCGCCAATCTCGTGGCCGAGGCAGTAGTCGAGGATCGACGCGACGGGCCGCGCTGCAATGTAGAAGATCGCCATGAAAACTTGACGATCGGGACCGACTTGCCGCCAATGGCTACCAATAAGATCATACGCCTTCGTCCATCGTACTGGGAAAAGCGTACACAGCGGATGGCGCGAGCAGAGGGCTTGCGGAATGAGCTCGCCAAAGATGACAAGGATCACCGTCGTCACGAGGAACCCAACGAGTCCTATCGATGCGTCTCAGTTCTGGCTCGAAGGAGAAGGACGTACCGTTGGTCATGTCGGCCATGGCGATGGCCATGATCGAGTTGATGCCGACGTTGCCGTAGAGCATCGTGGTCAAAAGGAGGTGGCCGTCCTTGCGGATCGGCGCAATCTTACGCGCGTACGCAGCGTTCTTCTTCTCTTCGGGCGTCGCGTCCGGGTCGTCGCCGGCATCAATGACGATCTGGAGCCCGTTGTTGTCGAGCGACATGTAGCCGAGCGTAAGGCCGGCGAAGAGCGCGGCGAGGACCGTGAGGAGCACGATCGAGCCGATGCGCAGCGTCCACTCGAGGTCGCTCCAGTCACTGCTGCTGCTGCTATCGGCGCATTTCGACGCGGTGTCCATCGACAGGCAAAATGCAAAATGGCACTTTCTGGCGGAACACCTGGGCCGTTCCGAAAGCATGGAAGAGTCCTTAAACCGAGGGAGTCTCGACAATTCCGCGTAAACTTCGCATTATTATGTTGCTTTTCCTGTTGCACCGAGATAAAGACGAGAGCGCGTCGCACGGACGCTTGACGTGAGTTGCCTTTACAACCGTGGCGAGAATGGGCTCGCCACCCGAAGACCTGTTGTGCGAACGTGGGGCATGTTGTTTCCTTGATGTACCTGGTTTTGTCACTGTATTTCGAAGCACCCCCGGTTGTGTCATTTTCCTGTCGCGTCGTGACCGCCATTGAAGTGCGACCAGCTTGCACTCGCTGCCCACAGTAGGACGCAGCGAGTGCTGGAATTAGAGCCGCAAGGTCCATGCGACGGCTGCCGCGTCGCACGACGGACGACACAGATACCATCGCGACATCAAATCCGAGGCCGAAGCGAGACGACTGCACTTTTGTACGTGTACTTGGTGAGCAGATGCAGTAGTGGGGGACTTCGGAGCACATCGTGGTCGTCAGCACGTGGCGGTGGCTGATACTACTGCAAACGAAGAGGATAGGTGTGCATGGGACGCAGCGTGCTCTGGACCATCAAAAGACTGTATTGATAATACAGTCTTTCATCTCGATCGTTGTATAATACAGTATTATACAACGATCGAGATACTGGAGCGCTGTAGACGACGAATCGAGCTCGCGTGCCCATGTTACAGCATTCAGGAAGCATGCGCACTGACTGCTCCCACGCGGCATGTACCTAGGATCCACAGTCCGAGGTTGCGGCTCCCTCGAATCTTCTGATCTCGTGAATCTCCAACTTCAAGTTGCACCGGCTCTACGCTGCGCGCTTGCCACGTCATTTCGCCCGCCACCCACGTCCATTTGTTTTATACCAACAACAGCGCAATATTTCCAGCGCCAAGTTGTGCAAGCAGTTTGTAAAAAGAAAGAACAGTCCCTCACTCGAACGCTGTTTGCATCTCGTCCATGCTGTCGGCCTGGAGAAGGCTCCTCTTGACTTCGTTGCTCGAATCGATGGGGGCCACGAATTCGAGTTGGGCGGTCATCGGATGGATTTGGGCCGTGTGCTTGGGCAACGCAAAGCGTTTGGACCGCACCCGGGGGGTCGCCGCCGCCTTGACGAGACGCGGGTGCAAGCTCACGTTCGGGTGCAGCATGTGCTGAAAGTCGACGTGGGTGATCTGCAGGCAGAGAATCTTCCCACACCGACTCGGCACGACGGCAGTAAAGTCAGGCACGTGTGTGTTGGCCGGTACGACAAGGCTCTCGGCGCCGAGGACCGACCAGACGTCCATTTCACTCGCCAGTCCTACATGTGTTTGTCACATCACCACCGTAGTACGAGCAGGCAATCGCACCGTGGCGACCGGTTGTGACCTTGACACAGCCCTCCATCACAACAACGCAGTGGTTGGCGACCTGCGACGGCGAGTATATGCGAGCACCGAGCGCCGTCTCGCGGCCATATTCGACCAGATGGCACTTCATCAGGAGACTGCTCACATCGTCAATGGTCAATGCGTCGCCTAGTATTCATGCAAAGATGATTACATCTGGCGCCGTCCCAAACTCAGATTGCAGATCGCACCTCCAGATTTCCGTAGCTGGAAGACTGGCTGGTTGGCCACGAGATGCGTCGCCAAGTCCTTGGCTTCCTCCAACGTCAAGTACATGTCGTCATCGTCGTCATCGAGGATGTCGTCGGACGAGCCGACGCGCAGTCGCCGGATCGCGGAAGGATCGACGTCGCGGCAGGCCATGGTCTTGTTGCGTCCGTCTAGACATGGAAAAGAATGTCATTTGGTTGTTGGACAACATCCGGTACCGCTGACATCGCCTTCGCTGCGAAAGGTGTCTTGCAAGATCTCTTCAATCACGTCCTCGAGCGAGACAACGCCGACCGCTTCCAGGAACGGGTCGCCGTCGCCCGCATTGTTGACCTCCTGCACTAACGCGAGGCGCGAGTGGCCCATCTTGAAGGCCTTGAGGAGGTCGCCGAGGTTCGTATCGGGCCAGACGCGATGGATGCCGCGGCCAAAAATATGCACAAAATGTAGCACTGAAATCGGTTCCTAGTATCGCAATATTCGTGTACAAAAGTGTCATTGTACAGAGAGAACGTACGTTGGGATCCACAAACACGAGGTCCTTGATGAAAAGCAGCCCGAGCACGTCGTTGCGCGTGCGGCCGTACACAGGCACGCGGCTGAAGCCCTTGGCGTAAATGTCCCGCAGCGTACTTCGGTCGAGGAGCGCGGTCGATGGCAGCATGTACACGTCGTGCATGCGGGTCATGATCGCGCTCACGGGCTGGCTCTTGTAGTGCAGCGCGCCGTACATGATCCAGCTCTCGTCGTCGTCAATCAAGTCGCGCTTGACGTGGATGTCGAGCATCTTCCACAGCTACACGGTCGCCGCTCGAGGTCAAGTGAGACGGCGGACTCTACGGACGCACCTCTCGCTTCGTGAAGAGCGTGCCGACTTCTTGACCGAGAAAGGCGTCCAAGACAGCGCTCACGGGTTTCGCCAACACGTAAAAGAGAGCGATGATGAGTTTGACGAACGGAACCGACTTGGCACCGATCGCTACAATCCACCATTGTCTCCTGCAATTCTTCATCATTTTCAATGAAAGTAGCACGTACCGAGCGCGTGGCGGGAGCACGCGGCTTGCGGAATGACTTCGCCGACGAGCACGATGAGCGCGGTCGACACGAGAAAGCCAAAGAGACCTAATGCGTCATTGATGACCCGAGAGACTTGGGAGATGGAGTGAGACGCACCGCTCGTGAGGTCGGCGAGAAGGATCGAGAGGAGCGAGTTGACCGACACGTTCCCAAGCAAGAGCGTCGTGAGAAGAAGGTTGCCGTTCCTTCGAATCGGCGCAATCTTGCGCGCAGCGGCGGCGAGGCGCTTCTCTGTCGGCGTCGCACCGTCGTCTTCGCCAGCACCAATGACGACTTCGAGGCCGATCTTGTCGAGCGACATGAGTCCGAGCGTGAGGCCCGAGAAGACCGCGGAGAGCGCCACGAGGCCCGTGATCGCAAGGCCTCGAACGACCCAGTCGCCCGTCGAGAGCGACGCCTCGGTCGTGCTCATGCTGATGAGCTTTTTATGGACAATGGATGACCCTCGCGCCAGAAATAGCACCCGCCAATAATATCCCGAAATACGTGGCACGCTCTGAGCGCACCAAAATACGTGGCACGCTCCGAGCGCAGCACAACCGGACCTGTCCAGGTACCCTGTCTTCGACACCTCTGGGCGACGTTGAGGACAATAAAAGAAAGCACTTGAATCCAACTGGCTGCTATTGGGGGTACAGTACTTAGTACGATGCGAGGACGAACTTAGTTCATAAAGGTATAGTCGACCGACGCGTAGGTAAACTGCTGGAGGCCAATATACGGGCTGTTGGCAGCGTGGCACGACCACAGATGCGGGTTGCTTCCAGACGCGCTGCCCATGTCGAGGCAAAAGCCGGGAAACTTGACGTGGCGCAGCTGCTGCGTCGCGCTGTCGTACGACCATTTCTGGTTGGTGTTGCTCTGGCTGCACGCGTAGAGGTGGACGGCGCCGCCGTTCCAGCCCTGGTACGCGTCGAGGCAGAGACCGGTCGTGCCCAGCGCGATCGTCTGGTGCACGTTATCAACGATCCAGTGCTGCTTGGTGCTATCGGCAAACGTGATGGTGCCAGCCCCGGCATCGCCCGTGAGCACGCGCTGCTTGTTGGCGATCGCGACGCGCTCGGTCGGCAGCCCGATCCACTGGTTGGCGTTGAGTGTGTTGAGCGCGTGGCACTGCCAGACCTGCACACCATTCGACGCGTCGTTGGGGTCGACGTCGACGCACAGATTCGGGTGCGTCGCATGCGCGAGTCGGTGGTTCTGGATGTCGATCTTCCATTTCTGGTTGCCGTTCGATGCGTCGCAGCTCCACGTATGCAGCGCATAGCCCGCAGCTTTGGACGCATCAGGGTAAGCATCCAGGCACGCGTTGGCGCTGAGCGACTTAAGCAGCGACGTTGCCGTGTCGAATTCAAAGCGCTCGTTGAGGTTGTGCCGGGGCGCGTTGGCGTAGAGCTTGCCGTTCCACTCCGAGATGGCGAGGCCGCGCGACGTGTAGAGTTGCAGCGTCGGGCGGTTGCCGTTGCGAACATTCGAGTAAATCGACGTCGGGTATGCAAGGTTGTTTTGGGAGTTGTCCATGTTGCCAGCGCCGAGGCCAGAGACGACCGCCGAGATGAGCGACCGCGCCGAGCGCGCAGCATCGTCGCCCGAAGCCTCCCAGAACATGGCGCCGGCGAGGTTGAACTTTTGGAGGTACTGCATTTTGGCGGCAATTGTCGCTGGCCCGTCATACCTACCCTCGCGTCAGACAACATGTCCATCAGTTTGCGAGAGGGAGGATTACGTGATCAGCATCTTTGTTGACGGGTTGTACGTGTAGGTAGCCATCGTCGTCGCGTCGACTTGCTCGGTCGTGCCGGCCAGCGGAAGGCTCTTGTAGCGCCAGGAGCCAGCAGCGCCATTGTCGCCGAGCGTCGGTGTCGCAAACGACTGGTAGAGGCCGGCGGTGTTTTCAAACGACGTGCCGTAGAGCGGAAGGCCCATGACGAGCTTGCTACCAGGACAGCCTTTCTGGAGATAGTACTGGACCGCAGCGTCGACCGAGAGCTTAAAGTCACCCGGCGCCTTGGCGTCCGTGTACAAGTTGGCCGAGTACCCGGCCACGCGGCTCCACGACCCGGAAAAGTCGTACCTACTGCCATATTCGATGCAACTCCATCATCTAGAGGTATGTACGTCATGAGGTAGATGGCGTCGACGAAGCTGCAGAGCGTCCCAAGGTGCGGCCCCAGGTCACTCTCAAAGCCGGGTGCTGCAAACGTAAGCTCGGCGCGGAACGGCAGCTGGTTGAGCGCCGCCTTGATCTCGCGCATGAGCGTGGTAAAATTAGCCGTCTCGGTGGCCCCAGTTGGGTACTCCCAGTCCATGTCAACGCCGTCGAGACCGAGGTTGACGAGCACCTCGAGGACGTTGGTGATGAAGGCGGCGCGAAGCGAGGGCGACGCAGCAATCGCGGGAAAGGCGTCGCCGTTGCCCCAGCCGCCGATCGAGAGCGCCACTTTCACCTTGCGGTTCGCACGCTTGAAGGCGAAGAGCTGGCCAAAGTTGCCTTGGAGAGACGTGGGCCCGAGGTCGGCGCCGACGGCCGTGCCAAAGGCCGCGGACGTGTTGGCGAAGCGGAGGCTGCCGTCGGGATTCGGCGTCGCAAACGCGTAGTTGATGTGCGTGAGGCGGCTGCCGTCGAGGTTGTTGACGTTGTAATTGAAGGTCTCGGGCGACCACTCGGTAAAGTACGCGACGTTGCGGTACGGCGCAGCGGCGGCAAACGCGAGCAGCAGCGACGAGACGACGGTAGCGACGTGCATGTATGGCAAAGAAAAAAAGGCAATCTGGCAAACAAGCGAGCAAGTGCCACCACCTGGTAGACGTGTTACACCGATCATTTGGCCACGCGACGTAACAAAACTGCGCCTCGAAATCGTTGACCTCCTCGGTGGTGGCGCTGCAATGTGTGCTGAGAAAGCGGTGCCTCATTGCCTTGAAAAGGCGCTCGATGGGTGGCCAGTCCGTAGTATCAGGTGGAGCGAGCAGGCACCTGGCGCGTGCCGTTGGCTCTGGACGAATCCTGCGGCTGATACCAAGGGCCAGACTCATCACCAGGTACAGTACATAGTCCAGTAGTGTGTGGTCAGCGATGACACCACTTTCAACACCCGAGCTTTCGACTGGACGCTGCGACTGGCTGCACGGACGTAAACTGGACAAGCTCCGTGGTGTGGTAAATTTGTCTCATGCCCGAGGTCTCCGGCCCAAGATCGCACAGTCAACGAGTACGATAGCAGAGCCAAGCGGCAAGTACGACAAAGGTGCGACCGGTTAGCGATGGCGCACGTGCTGCATGCTCAAATTCCTGGAGGCGCCACAGAAAGATCGCAGAGGAGCCAATGACAGCGTCGCATTTTGGGAACCGTTGCGATGCCGCACCGACCGTGCCAGCGGTACAGCCATACCAGCGGTGGGCGCCGCCGAAGTGAGACGGTACGCGATGCGACGCGCGTGCTCTGCGGCAACGGCCAGCGCGGCTGCGGCGACGGCAAGGCCGCCGTCGCCACGTTCAACACGCCCATGTCTCTCTGCTGCTTGGTGGACGGCACCCTCGTCGTCTCCGACTGCCAAGTACTAACCCGTTCTGTCGCGCCGTCCAGTCGTAATCTCTCTTCTATCTGTAGAACAACACACTGCGCTTCGCGGTGCAGGACGAGAAGGGCAGCCTCCGCGTCCATGCGCTGCGCAACTCGTCCTTTCTGGCACCGCGCGGCCTCGGACTCGACGCCTCGCTCTTGTACGTCTGCGATACCGGTCACCACATGATCAAGTTTGGCCTTCTTCCCGACGCCTTCCTGGAGGACATGGATTTTGGGGTCTTCGCGGGCTCGGGCAGGAAAGGGCACGTCGATGGTCTCGCGTCGAGTAGCGCCTTCCACCACCCGTCGAGTCTTGTCGTGCTGGCCGACCACAGCGTTCTCGTCGCCGACACGGGCAACCACTGCATTCGATCGATCCACAGGACGCACGGGCAGTGGCGCGTCCGAACCATCGCGGGCGGCGCGCCGAGTCCCAACCCAGTGGTGGGGCGACGGTCGTCGGTCCCGTCCAGTGCAGGCTACGCTGACGGCGTCGGACCCACCGCCCTCTTTCGCGGCCCGAGTGGCCTCGCGCTCGGGCCTCTCGGCGAAGTCTTCGTTGCGGATACGTTCAACCACTGCATCCGCGTCTTGACGTGGTCCGAGGACGCTGGCGCGTGGCGTGTCGAGACGCTGGCGGGGTCGCCCAAGAGCGGCCATGTCAACGGCGCGTGCGACAGCGCGCTCTTCAACCAGCCCGTCGGCCTCTGCATTGCGGCGGACGAGTCGATCTTCGTCGCAGACAAGGGCAACAACTGCCTGCGCCAGCTCGGCGGCGTCGTTCGGAGCCACGACCGGTGCTACTACAGCTGGGTGCGCACGGTGACGATCGAGAGCTTTGCGCCTAGCCAAGTGTTCTCGAGAGGCGTCGAGCCGCCATTTCTCTTGCCCAAAGGCGTGTGCACGCTGGTTCGAGGGCGGCCTGAGAAACCTGATCACGTGCTTCTTGGCGTTTGTGATTCCGGCAACCACTTGGTTCGGCTCGTGTCCGTGCCCAGCCTAGCACGTCCCGACATAACTGCGAGCAGCGCCGAGGACGATGACATTGAAAGCGACGACGGCAACAACAACATCGGCGACAAGCCAGACATGTACGTGGCGAGGTATCGAAGCTCTACACGATGTTGACGGTTCTCCAGCGACGAGGCGACGTCCGAAACTGTACCCAAGCACGAGCTAGAAGCGGTAGTCCTCGGGCGGCGTTGACGGTCGTCCTCATGGCTGCGAATAGTTGCAGGTCGAAAACGCACAGCTTCGCGCGGACAATGCCACGTATCGAGAACTGCTAGAGGTGGCCGTCGTCAAGGTACCGCGACCGAGATGACGCCCGAGGGTCACGACCTTGTCATCGATAGATGCACGAGCTGAGCGCGTTACTGGAGCGCTCAAATGGCGCCAACTAAGATTGCAACAGTGATCGACCTTACAGATAGATTATGATTCGACTCCAATCCTCTACGCCTGCGCTGCCAAAAACGCCGCCTTGGCCTTCTCGAGGATCGCAATGCCAGCTGCCGACTCTTCAGGGTGCACGAGCAGCGCCGCGCCGTGCTCAATCGTGTCGGCAAGGCCGATGTAGTAGGCGCTGTAGTTGCCCGGCTCGCTCACGATGCGCTCGTCCGGCTGACCGTGGCGCTGAAGGACGCCATGGTGCGCCGTAGGCTCATGGCCCCAGCTGTCGCCGTCGGTCAACGGCGTCCGCCCCGCACGCAGCGCGGTCTCTTGGCCGTCCTCGCCAAACTTGACAAACGAGCCGTGCGCGCCGCGGATTGTGTACTTGGGCGTCGGGTTCTCGACGAGCATGCCCGCCGTGAGCACGACGAGGAAGCCCGGGAACTGGCACTCGAGGCGGAAGTAGTCGTCGTTGCTGCAGCCGTCGCGCTGGCTCTGGACGTCGGCTATGCATATCCAAACCATGAGATCAACGGTCGAAACGACGGAGATGCGCACACGAAATGGTCGTCGGTGGGCCAAAGAGCGTCAGCATTTGATCGACGAGGTGCGCGCCGAGGTCGTAGAGGAGGCCGCCGCCGCCAACGTCCGCGCTCTCCTTCCAGTTGCCTTTGAGCGACGGCCGGAAGCGGTCAAAATGAGCTTCAAAGTGCGAGAGGTCTCCAAGCGTCTTGCTCTCGAGGAGCTTGCGCACCGTGAGAAAGTCCGAGTCCCACCGGCGGTTCTGGAAGACGGTCAGGATGACGTTGTTGGCGCGGGCCGTCTCGATGAGGACGCTTGCTTCGGCCGACGTGACGCACATGGGCTTGTCGACGACCACGTGCTTCTTGGCCTCGAGCGCGATCTTGGCCTGTTCAAAGTGCAAGTTCGTCGGTGTTGCAATCACGACCACGTCAATTGGTGCCGCGACGAGGTCGGCCATCGAGCGCACGATCGTGGCCGACGGCAGCGCGTCACGGCTGAGCGACTTGGAGCGCTCCATGACGTGCGTGATCTCAAAGCGGCCGCTCGAAAGCAGCAGCGGCATGTGGAAGAACTGGGCGGCGGTGCCGAAGCCAACGAGGCCGGCGCGGAGCTTGGTCGACGAGGTCATCTTGAAGCAACTCTGAAAATGAAGTCGAGATGGACCGGACAAAAGCCGGACTTTTCCCGGTGGCACAAGCCATGTGCGCAACACGGCACCGATCTTTACCGTGGTGCGTGCCAGTGCTCGGAAGGTGGACGCATCGTAATAGCAAGCGATGGTGCACCTTGGGAAGAGAGATGTGCTCACACACTGAAACACTACGAGTACGGAGCGCAAGGACCATCGTAGTATCGTTTTATAGGAAGCGCTGGAGCACGGACACTTCGGCCGCCGCTTTGGCCAGATGGGGACCATCATTCAATGTAGAAATCAAGGGATTAGTAGTAGATGCGGCTTCAACGTAGTGGCGCCAAGGGGCAAGGATTTCGACTGCAATGGCGTGCTTATTCGGAGCCTCTGCTCGGAACAGGCGTATTTACTTAAACCCGACATGAGGCGTCCAGGAAGAGCGGCAACAGTTCCAAGATTTTTGTCCCAACCAGGAGTCCCTGGTCCCACGGTCACACGAGCCTAGAACACGGGTTTTGGCATGGGGTTGTAGTTAGTCTGGACTTGATTGTACACCTCAAACACCGGCGCGATATAAAATAGCCCGTTCAGCTCTAAACAGTGGCTTCTAGCGCTGTGCCAAGTTGGAGCGACTTCATTTTCAATCGAGGTATGATCGACCGACCGCCGACCGACCGCCGTCACCAGCGATGCCAGGTCCAAAGATCTCTCGGGATTGGTTAAAAATAGATCGAATGAGCCAATCAAACGTGAGCCACACTACAGTACTTATGACGAGAAAATCGAATTAGCGTCGTGATCACGTTCCGACAGCAAGCGTGCTCAACCAGTGTACTGTTTGGTGCTTTATATATTGACACTTATATCTACTACGACGTACTCTAGCTACAGGAGGCCCAACTTGCGGGCCTTGGCCAGCAACCCGCGCAGCAAGGTCTCTTCGTACTCGAGCGCCACGTCCCGTTGCCCAGGAGGAACCGGTGCGAGGACCAAGTACGGCTCGAGAGCCATCGGCTGCCGTGTCTGGATCGCTGTGATGGCGCGAACGAGCGTATCGATCGCTACCACGCGCTCGTTTGGTGTCCAGAGCAGTGGCGGCGCGTGCTGGAAGTTGCTGGTTTGAGGAAGGCGGTGGAGACACGGGGCTTGGTCAAGAATCACTTGCTGCATGATCGCCATCGGCGACTTGCTTTCGGTGCACTCTGCGTCGGTATCGGCTTGGTCGGCGGCTGAATCAGCCACAATTTCTGGCACCGGTGCGATCGAGTTGCTTGGAATGCTGTCCGTGGTGTCGTCGAGGGTCGTCGTCGTCGTCGGCGGCGTGTTGGGTTCAGCTGCTTGTTGCAGGCGTGCAATAGCTGCGTTCTGCTCGTCAATGGTCCGTTGCGCCACTGCGAGCTTCGTCGTGAGCTCCTGGATTCGAGCCTCAGCCATCTCGAGTGGTGTTGCAGCCTCCGGGGCTGGCGTCGCTGAAGGCACTGGGGCTGGCGTGGTGGTGGCAGCCGCGGCTGCCTTCTTGCGGAGATCGACCACCGGCTTGGTCGTCTTGGCCGCCGGTTTGGTTGTCGTGGCCACCGGCTTCGTCATGGGGCGAGCCACGGGTGTCTTCTTGGGCTGTGGCTTGGGGCTCGACACAGGCTTGGCCGCCATGCGCGCTTCCTTGGCCTTGCGGCGCTGCTCGGTGGCGTAGAGAGCAGGGTATGTCTCGCGGAAGAGCTGTTCCTCGCGCGCGCGGCGCTTGGCCTCCTTGTCTTGGACGTGCTGGCTGTTGTAGAGCATGGTGTTTTCGATTATGACGCGCTGCAAGACGCCATTTCGCTCGCTGTAAAAGCGATATTGCAGGTTTTTCCCTTGTAAAGCGACAGGGCGTGCTAGCTTTTACCTCGCAGCCTTTACAGGCGACGTTCAACATCGCTGGTACTCGCCGCCTCGGCATGTACGCTCGACTAAGTTCTGCAAGCAGCGTGCAAAGCCAGCCAACTCTATTTCCTTCAGGCAAACAAGTTGCATCCTCGCAATAGCCCGTGTGGCTTCCCGACCTAATACGAAAAACGCTACTTCGACAATGGCTCACCCAATATCATCTTTTCTCAGCAATCGGTCCCCTGACGGTGGTGATGTTTTCCTCTCTATCGTCAGAAGTGCGCCATATCTTCTGCAATGTCCACTCCACTGCACACTATTGCGGATGTGTTGTTTGAAAAGTTGAGAAAATGTGCTCGGTCGCAACCTCGGATCGTCTTTACCAAGCTGTACATCGTTCCAAGGCGCAGGCCAAGTACTTGGAGTTGTTGCGAGGTGGCTGCTTTGTGTCAACGCATTGAAATACGTGGTAGACCATCGCTGGGGCGTCGAGTATGCAGGGAAAAAGGAGGCTCATAGATAGCGGTCTTTTCTCAGCAATCTGGCCCCAGACGGTGGTGATGTTTTCCTCTCTATCGATGGAAGAGGGCTTGAGGAGTTGGAAAACCCAATCCGCTGTACACTATTGTCGTTCGATGCGTTTCAGAAACGTACTCGATCGCCTCTCACTACCTTGGATCGCCTTTACCACCCCGTCCATCATGCCACTACCCAACGAATGCAGCGGAGGCTTGGGGCATCCGTCAAGAAACAAGAGAGCACACGTGGTTTGGGCAAGTTTGCGTTCACGCTGCACGGTTGGTACAGCCTAGCCCGCTCTTATCCGAGGACACGAAGCGATGCCAGAATCGACAACGCGGAGCAACCAAGAGATGTGCATTCGAGTCGAAACCTTCAGAGGTTAGAGCTCTCCTCGACAAACCATTGAAATAATGAACAACGGTCTGAGCTAAACCTCTCTGTCTTGGCCTGCACTTGGTCCTTTGGATCCCACATACTAGTAGAACAAACACGTGTGGGTTGCCACGTCATGGTTGTATCCAACGGTGAAGTGTACGTCGGTGGTACACATGCTACTCGACACAGTGGAGCTGCGCTGGTTTCTTCTGAATGTGCTGCAATGCACTGCTACGGAGCGGGTGGTATCGTTGGCGCCGATCCAGGAACCGGTAGGTCCAGCGCGGGAAACCTTGAACCGAGATGCTCGAAATAGTGTATGGTTCTCCCTTTCCAGCCAGATGGTTTTGGCAAAAATCGAACAAGCCGCCAGATCCGATGCGAGTGCAAGCTGCGGTGGCGCTGCTGGCAGGCGCTGCGGCCGCGTGTCCGTACGCAGCTCTCTTGCCGCCCGACGTCTCGAGCGTCGTCGTCGCGTGCCCGGCCAATGCTACGCTGTGCACAGTGGATCGCGCCTGCGGGGCTATAGCACCGTGCAGCCCGCTGCCAGGCGTCTTGGATCTTCGCTGCAGTGGCAGCCCAGCCTTGGGCGATCTGTCCGCCACCAACGTCAGCGATCTCTCGGTCATGGGCACGAAGCTCAACCTAGAGGCCCTCGTGCTGCCGGCTCTCGCCTCCTTGTACGCGATGTCTTGACGCATCGGACTCATCATGGATGAATCTCTTGGCGTAGCACTGTCCAGAACTGCAGCATCGAACGCATGCCCAGTGCGCTACAGTGGCCAACTTCTCTCTTGACCATGTATGTGACCACCGTCAGAGGCCAACGACAACACGAGCGCCAATGGTTGTAGGGACCTTGCAAACACCTCGTTGCAGTCCATTCCAGCCGGCTTGCCGCACCGGCTACGCGATCTGTGCGCTACATCTTCTGTGCAATTCTCTCTAACCTCGCATGGCTAGGCGACTGGATGACAACGACTTGTCTCGCAGCACAACAAGCTTGGATTCGCTTCCGACGTCGCTGCGGCGCCTGTAGGTTCTTACCTAGATCTCGAAGCGGGACCATATGATCGCATGGCAGGTCGCTGCAGGCATGCCACTTGCGCGAGCTTCGCAACCTCGACTGGCGCCACCTCCAATTCCTGTACGTCGACAGCCCTGTCATCATTCTGCATCTCATGATACCGCGCAGGCACCTCGGGCACAACCCGCAGCTACGCACCCTCGCCAACATCAGCCTCCACGCGTCGCACCTTGTCGCCTTGTATGATACCCGATGGGCCAGTATAAGTATTCACGATTATATATTGTCATTTATGTCTACTACTACGACGTACTCTAGCTACAGAAGGCCCAACTTGCGGGCTTTGGCCAGCAACCCGCGCAGCAAGGACTCTTCGTACTCGAGCGACACGTCCCGTTGCCCCGGAGGAACCGGTGCGAGGACCATGTACGGCTCGAGAGGCATCGGCTGCCGTGTCTGGATCGCTGTGATGGCGCGGACGAGCGTATCGATCGCTACCACGCGCTCGTCTGGTGTCCAGAGCAGTGGCGGCGCGTGTTGGAAGTTGTCTGTTTGAGGAAGGCGGTGGAGACACGGGGCTTGTTCAAGCATCACTTGCTGCATGATCGCCAGCGGCGACTTGCTTTCGGTGCACTCTGCGTCGGTGTCGGCTTGGTCGGCGGCTGAATCAGCCACAATTTCTGGCACCGGTGCGATCAAGTTGCTTGGAATGCTGTCCGTGGTGTCGTCGAGGGTCGTCGTCGCCGTCGGCGTGTTGGGTTCAGCTGCTTGTTGCAGGCGTGCAATAGCTGCGTTCTGCTCGTCAATGGTCCGTTGCGCCACTGCGAGCTTCGTCGTGAGCTCCTGGATTCGAGCCTCAGCCATCTCGAGTGGTGTTGCAGCCTCCGGGGTTGGCGTCGCTGAGCGCACTGGGGCTGGCGTGGTGGTGGCAGCTGCGGCTGCCTTCTTGCGGAGATCAACCGCAGGCTTGGTCGTTTTGGCCGCTGGCTTGGTCGTCTTGGCTGCCGGCTTCGTCGTCTTGGCCGCCGGCTTGGTCGTCTTGGCCGCTGGCTTGGTCATGGGGCGAGCCACGGGTGTCTTCTTGGGCTGCGGCTTGGGGCTCGGCACAGGCTTGGCCGCCATGCGCGCTTCCTTGGCCTTGCGGCGCTGCTCGGTGGCGTAGAGAGCAGGGTACGTCTCGCGGAAGAGCTGTTCCTCGCGCGCGCGGCGCTTGGCCTCCTTGTCTTGGACGTGCTGGCTGTTGTAGAGCATGGTGTTTGCGATAATGACGTGCTGCAAGACGCCATTTCGCTCGCTGTAAAAGCGATATGGCAGGTTTTTCCCTTGTGAAGCGACAGGGTGTGCTAGCTTTTACTCGCAGCCTTTACACGCCTGGTACGATCCACGTTCATGCCTTTGGTGACATCGGCGACTTGGCGCCTCATGAACCTTCCCTGACAGTGGCATAGGCTTTTGACATACTAGTACAACTATGAGAAATGCTCGGCTTTCTCTTTCAAACCATTCTTATTGTGGAACTTATCCATGCACCGCAAGGATACGCTGCAACCAGAGGCTGCCACGTCATGAAACCGGTTGCTCACTGTCGCCAGGCAACCCTTCTAGCTACAGCTTGCGCAACGCTACGATTGCATGCTTCACACACGGTCTTCCTGCTCAACGGTCCACTTGGACCACAGCGAGGTACGCAAGGTAGCACGCATGATGCACCACGAAGGCCTCCGCTGCAAGAGGACCAACGCCAGCGCACGACGCCAGCGACACGTGTCCGTCTACCTCCTCCTCAAGACACAAGACAGCATTGGATGCAACTCGACGTCGGCGTCGATACGACGTTAGCAATGCAAAAATCGACGCGGTGCCCGTCATGGCTCGACCGCAAAGTGGTCGTGGAGAGCGGCCGCCACCTCCCGGCGCATCTGGTTTTGGACGCAGTGGCCCGACGTGTCAAAGACGACCTTGCGCGTGTGCGGGCCCTCGAGGTGCATAAAGAGGTAGTCGGCGTTCTTCGGGTGCAGAATCCAGTCGTGCGCAGCGCCGACGACGAGGATCGGGAACCCGTGGGCGCGCACGGCCTCGAGCCGCGCCGGACTCATGTTGTGGCCAAAGACCGCCGCGTGCTGGCCATGCACGCCCGCCAAATTGAACGTGACGCCGTCGAGGAGCTCGAGGTGAAACTGATGCAGCATCTCGTGCATCGTGCGGCCGTCCGACGCCGTCTCGGCGAGGTAGTGCTTGGGGTACAGCGTGCTCATCATCGTGTCGACAATGTCATGCATCGAGCGCGCAAAGCCAAACTTGGCCATCGTCAGATACGTCGCAAACTGCGTAATGCCGGGAAACGCGCCCGTCGTGTGACCTGGCGACGACACGATGAGCGCGAGCGACCGGACGAGGTGCGGCGCCGCGTACGCAAGCTCCTGCGCCACCATACCGCCCATGCTATTCCCATGGACGCGTCAGAGATGGTTGCATGAACCATCGATTGTTTGGTGTACCTGACGCCAACGACATGGACGTTGGTCCACCCGAGGTGCTCGAGAAGCAGGCGCGCATCGTCTGCCAAGAGCGCGGTCGTGTAGCGCACGAATGGCTTGCTCGAGCCGCCGACGCCGCGGTTGTCCAGCGTCACAATCTGGTACTGCGCGTGGTGGTGCGTCGACTGGTCGAGGAGCGTCGCGAGCAGTGGCGTCCACGTCTCCTTCTCGCCCATGAGACCCATGAGGAGGAGGATCTTGTGCGGCGCGTCGTCGCCGGCGCCATGCACAGCGTACTCCATGTGCAACCCGTTGGGCAGGTCGGCGTGGCGCACGTCCTGGAAGAGCGCCTTCACGGTCGCTCGCGTGTAGACGGCCACGTCATCCAGCATCGTCGAGGCGGCGAAATGCAAACTGCGGACGCTGGGCCCATCGTCGTCGGTGACCACGTCGGCGTCTCGCAACGGTGATGTCATGGCTCGCGGATCTGCAACCAGAATGTAGGTCATGCTTTTCGACCACCGAACCGAGTAGCTTGACGGCAAGCGACTTGACGCCGACCAAGGGCTCGTGTGACGAACGCGCGTCGATGCGTGGGGTGCCATATCGACGCGCCTGCGTCACGCAACCGGCGACGACTGCGACGACCAGCGATGCGAGGGAGCCCCACCCAGTGCGTCGTCTCAACTATTGCAGATGGACGTTGCAGAGGACAGGCCGCGATGATCTCGTTCATAGAACCGCCGTCGCTGCAGCGCTTTGCTCTGGACTCTGGACGCAGATCTTATATGCTGGAGGCGACCGTCGCTTCCAAAAACAGTGCAGGTAGTGGGTTGGACCAACGTCCCGCAGTCTGGTCACGGCGGTATCAGCGGCGAGATGCTTATCGCGATGACACTTACCTGTACGGTGCTGTGACCTGAATGCAGCCGACGCCACCGATAGCGCCGGGGTTGCAAGCAAAACGCCGAGGTTGCTGAGAACACTGTCGAGGCGATCGGACTTGGGGAATCCCTTCCGGCACGTCCTACTACACTCTTCTCAAGTAACGCATCCTCTTCCCGCCACGATCCGCACCCTGGATGATGCTACGCGTAGCATCACCAAAAGACGATGGATCATGGACGCACTAGCACTCCCAACACCACCGTGCGTGCCACGTCATGAAAAGGTATCAACTTGATTTAAAACAGCTGTGGCACGAGCACATTTCTCTGAAAGTGCGTGTCGAGCGCGGTTGCGATCGCGACGCGCTCTTGGACGAGGACGCCGTGGCCCGAGGTGTCGTAGATGAGCTTGGTCGTGAGCTCGCCCTGCAGGTGGTCGTAGAGAATCTCCGTGTTGTGGAAGTGCAGCAGCCGGTCTTGGCCGGCGCCGACGACGAGGATCGGGAATCCGGCTTCTTGGATCGCATGGAGGCGGCGGGGACTCATGCTGTGCTTCAAGCACGCGGCGTACTGCCCTTTCTTGCCCGCTGCCGTGATGCGCGTGCGCTCGAGGCGCTCTTTGTGGAAGGCCGAGAGGAGGTCGCGGTACGTCATTGCCGGATAGGTATCGACTGTCGTCTCGAGAAAGGCGTCCGAGTACATGGTGTAGAGCATCGTATGCAGCGGGTCGTCGGCGCCGACAAGGAGCTTGGCGAGCTCCCAGAAGCCGCCGAGCTGCGGCGTGTGGGGCAGCGCCATGTGCACGCCGCCCGGCGTCGTCACGAGCAGGGCGAGCGACTGGACGTGGTCGGGGCCGCGCGCCGCGACCTCCTGCGCAATCATGCCGCCCATGCTAAAGCCGCGGATGAGCTGCGAATAGGACAATACGATCGCTCTACCTGATGCCGACGATATGGGCCTTGGACCAACCGACGTACTTCATCAACAAGAGCGCGTCGTCGGCCATCTGCGACGTCGAATAGTACTCGGCGGGCTTGTCCGTGCCGCCGACGCCGCGGTTGTCGAACGTTAAGAACTGGTACCGGCGCGCTGTTACAGTGCCGGGCTCGAGGAGCGTCGCAAGCAGCGGTGCCCAGCCCTCCTTCTCGGACATGAGCCCCATGATGAGGACGACCTTCTCCGGCGCGTCGTTGTCGCCGTGGAGTGCATACTCGATCGTGAGCTCGTTGGGCAGCGCGACGTGGATGATGTTGCTGTAGATGGCAGCGATAGATGCTGCCGTGTAAATCGACGCGTCGTGAACCATTTCGGCGAGTTGGAAAATGACAGATTGCGATCACATCTCAATTCGTCAGGACCATGTCTGTGACACGGGCGCAAGGCCACGCCGCGCGCATGCATGCTCTTTACCTCGTCTATGCCGAGACCTTTGCGTCTCGATCCTTTGCGACTCATAAACGTTCATGGAAGAATGGCGTTCCCATCATCAACACACTCAACGTTCACATAACATATAAAAATGCATGGCATACACGCTGCCACGTCACTTATCCGGATCCGGATACGCAGACCCCATGGGGTTGGCTCTGATGAGCTGCAGCAAGGCGGAGGCGACCTCATGCCGCTTTTGCACGTGCACGCCGTGGCCCGTGTCGTCAAAGATGAGCTTGTGCGTCTGAGGTCCCTTGAGGTGTTTGTAGAGGAGCTTGGAGTTGTCCGAGTGGAGGAGCCGGTCGAGCTTGGCAGCGACAACGAGAATCGGAAAGCCCGCCGCTTGGATCTGCCGGAGCCGGCCGCTGCTCATGTCGTGGCGCAGGAGCGCGGTCGCTTGGCCGATCGCGCCGCTGATCTGGTTGCGCGCGAACTGAAGGCGGTGCATGTGAAAATCTTGGAGCAGCTTGCCCACATGGCCGTTCGACGCGCCGAGGAACGTGTCCGGGTACAAGATGTAGAGCAGCATGTCGGTGATGCTTTCGCGCGTCGGCAGGATCATGTTGACGCACGACTTCCAGTAGCCGGCAAGCTGGTGGAGTCGGGGCAAAGGGCCTCGGCGAAAACCTGTCGCCGACACGAGGAGGCTCAACGACTGCACGCGGTGCGGCGCTGCATACGCAAGCTCCTGTGAGATCATGCCGCCCATGCTACAGCTCGACTTGAGCCAAGAACAAAAAGATGGAGTCGACTACCTGATGCCAACGATGTGGGCAGACGGCCACTGCAAGACGTCCAGAAGCTGCAACGTGTCGTGGGCCATCTGCGACGTCGAGTAGAACGCCCATGGCTTGTCCGAGCCGCCGACGCCGCGGTTGTCGAACGAGACGAGCTGAACGCGAGGCGATCTCTCCGCGTCGTCGAGCAGCGTAGCGATAAGCGGAAGCCACGCCTCCTTCTCAAAGTGCAAGCCCATGATGAGAAGGACTTTTTCAGGTGCGTCGTCGGCGCCGTGGACTGCGTACTCGACGCTGAGGCCGTTGGGCAGCACAGTGTGCCGCGTCGTCTCGCGGTAGTGCTTGGCGACCGTCGCGGGCGAGAAGACGCTGGCGTCGCTTGGCATGGCTGCAACGGATGCCAGACGCAAGATGGCCCGTCCTGCTTCGAAATCCCACAAGATACCGATGAGATTTCACAACAAGTGCAAACTGGGCATCGCGATCGTTCCAGAGCGTTCGATGCAGCTGCGAGCAAACGGCTTGGCGGTGGCTCCGTCGCTGCCGATCAACACGACGCGCACGGGACGCTGCCTGGTGCAAGAAACAGCAACATCGTCAAGGCTAGGTGTCGTGGAAAAGCCGTCTTCAAAAACATCTCCGAAAAAGGCTCTTTGGGAGATTCTTGACAACCGAGCACGGCGGGCCCGCTGGTTCTAGTACGCCACTTCGTCGCTTGGTCAGTGCTATCGTTGCCATGCGGCAGAAGTGCTCGACGGGGCTCGAACGCGATGACAAGCCACGCGCAGGCCAAGTAGT